GTGGATGGTATTTTGATGGGGATTGCATTGAATGTGTAGATTGCTCTAGGTAGCATTGACATCTTCACAATGTTTGTTCTTCAGACATGAAGAAATTCTGGCCTCACACACATATGCATATGGAAAGGGAGGAATATTTGAATGGCCTTGAACAGATAATTGTGGATATCCTTCTTTGATATGACACCAAAACTTGACAAGTGGTATTTTTGAACAGTCACTTGCCATGTGGAATCTGTACACATCTTAATAAACTCTCCTTGCTCTGTTACATCAAAACCACTGGTCTGTCTTGCATTTTGGATGACTCTTCCCTGTGATGACTTTGGAATGTCATGCATTAATCATTAGGAAACTCTTGGCTCATTGAGTTATGCAGATCTTCCAAATGTTGACAATTTCATTCTGTAAAATGAGAAAATCACACTCATTAATATCTCCACTGATATCATCAGAAACATCTTGTAGTACTGGGAAGCTGTCAAGCACATTATAGCAGACACAAGTTCTCCAAAATTCTAAATTTTGGCTTGAAAGTTTACATTTTATCGTCGGCAACATGACACCATCCATGGTTTCTCTTGAAGTGATAGGCTCACTTGTTTACCATCAAAGTACCATCTACCAAGTGCCCAATCCTGAACAACACAGTCTGTCAGTCAATTTTTCAAGGAAAATCCTGTTCCATAAAAAAGAGGCCTGTTCATCCTTTCTTCATTAAAACTCTTCACAGTGTAGGGATAGAGGGTACATACCTCAATATCATAAAAGCCATCTATGAAAAACCCACAGCAAATATCATTCTCAATGGGGACAAACTGAGAGCTTTCCCCCTAAGGTCAGGAACGCGGCAGGGATGTCCACTATCACCACTGCTATTCAACACAGTACCAGAAGTCCTAGCCACAGCAATCAGACAACAAAAAGAAATCAAATGCATCCAAATTGGCAAAGAAGAAGTTAAAGTCTCACTCTTTGCAGATGGTATGATACTTAATGTGGAAAACCCAAAGGACTCCACCCCAAAACTGCTAGAACTCATACAGGAATTCAGTAAAGTGGCAGGATATAAAATCAATGCACAGAAATCAGTGGCATTCCTA